AAATCCCTCTGGGTAACTGGACTGATTCACTAAAAAAACCTTTAAGATTTAAAAAAAAAAATCAAGGAATAATTTAAAAAACAAAACGAAACAAAATAAAAAAGATAACTCKGTAACATGTTGTCTGGGACACAAAGCACGAATTTTCCTTTAGCTGCAATCTGCCCTTCATGAAATAAAAGGAAGATGTGAAGTCCACCACAGCAGTCTTGGGATTTTCATAAAACTTACCATCTATCAAAATTTGAGAGCTGGCAAAACATCATTGGCCTTCCCCTCCAAAGAAAGATGGGAGCAAGAGAGGAACCACACCTCATGGGGGTGGCTGAGACCCCATGGAAGGATCTTTCACRGGTTATGGATGTGTGTCTGAATCAGCTGCTGCAAGAACCTCCACAGGGTGATTCACCTGACCCACTTCAGGCTGGGATCAACCACCCTCCTCACCCCTCACACAGGGAATTGGGGTGATTGCCTTGGATGTGAGCATTTGGCTTTCAGATGCTTTAAGTGAGAGTGGATGAGCGTCATCCAGGCAGCCAAACTTCCGAGTGAGAAAGCCTTTCCTCCGCATGAAATGAACAATGGTTTCACCAGGGGTTCCTTTGGGGACAAGCTTCCTCCTGAGARCGAGTGAATTTATACATCCCCCACTCCTCAGAGATGGACCTAATGATACAKCTGCTCCCTGGAAACCAAGAGCTTCATTCAGTCGTAGTTCCCTTCAATACAAATTTATTTTCTTATRAATCCTCACAGAATCAGATTGGACAATGCATTGTCCCTTGCAGGGACAGAAAGCAGCAAAACTTGCCTGATTCTGAGCAACAAATGAATAAAAATTAAAAATCCAGGCTATTAACCCACCACACAGATTAAAACATCTTTTCCTGCCCTAACSCTCAGCTCCATTTAGCAAACCAACAAATCACAGATAACAGACCATAATTATCCTTCCATTTGCAGCTCCCAAGCAATCCTAACCCAGCCATCTCTAATGGGGTGCAAAAGCCACTGTGATTGAGGCTTTTTGTGAAATGCTTCAAACTGGATGGACAAACCTGCAAACGGCATGGCAGATGTTTAATGACGTATGTTCAGTAACGAGCTTTTAGATGTCAAAATTCCCAATGGGTTATAAAATRAATTGTTGCTACTGCCATAATTATTATTAAGGGGAATTTGACCATATACATATTTATCCCATTTTATCTCAATTTTAAAGTGAATTATGAATCACATTAACAGAAACTAGAATTATTGAGTTGTTTGTTGGGTATTTTGGTGTTTGTTTTGGTTTGGGTTTTTGTTAACAATGGMATTAAGCAGAAGTTTTTCCACTTTCTACAACTTAAAAAAAAAAAAAAAATTATAGCCATTAAAAAGATCAAAGTAGTTTGAGATCGTAGTTCTGTCTGAAGCTATCCAGCAGTAAAATATGACACCTGAATGAGCAGGGATGAGACTGCCACGGTGCCTCCAGKGCAGATAAATTGAAGAATTTGTATTCAACAGTAGCCTGGAAGCAGAGCAGCAAACAAGAGTCGCTGCAGCTGCATATTTCTGCAGGACCCTTTCTGGGGGAATATTCCTCAGCACAACAGCCACGTTGGCTTTAAATGCTCTGTGGGGTGATGCCTCCACCTTTTCTTTAGGAGATGGAATGGTTTAGCTCGTCCTAARATGTCCAACCCTGAAATTATTAATCTGGCTACTCTGGAGATGAGTTTGCAGGGGAACACCACCAATGAGCTGCAGCGAATTACATAAACAAGGCTTGAACAACCCAGTGAGTTTTATGCTCCCTTCCTAGTTTGTCTTGTGCAGATAAAAGTTCAAGCCTAAGAAGACAGATAATAAATGGAGAGAGCAAGAGGTGGTCAGAGACTAAAATATCAACAAAATGATGGGGTGAGGGGTGGATATTCTGCCATGAAGCTTCTGAAAAAAAGATTCTGCCTTTTTTTTCCCATATATCTGTGCCCTTTAAATTACAATCCAAACGTCTCAGCAGCCACGACAGACACAGGAATTCTYGTCCTTGTTAGTGCTGTGGAAAACTACCAAATACCTTTCTGTATGCAAAGCATTCCTTATAAACAGCACAAGTTCAGCACCKAGGGAACTGGGAAAGTGTCTCCTCAGGGATACTCTGAGCAGCCTGTGCTCCAGCTCACCCTGGTGAGACAGTGCCAGCAAAGATCGCTTTCAAGTTGTGGAGAGCAAAAAAAGAGAGAGCTCCTCACTGCTACATTTACATCCCTTTCAGCAGAGCTGCTCCACTTCTGTCCTGGTGTGGAAAACTCACTCTGAAATCCTGTTGACTGCAGYGTGCACCAAAGCACAGATGGTATGGGATTGGCTGGATGTGAAAGGAGCAGAGGAAATGGAAACAAGGAAACACAAGCCAACAAAAAACTCATTTCATTGACTTAAAGATTGCAGCTGCTCTGTCTGGGCCAAGGAATGGGGTGAAATAAAATTCACTATCTCCTCTGACTTCCACATGCTCATATTGGTTTTCCTCTCCTGGGGACAGTGGCAGATAAACAATTTCTCTGTTAAATCAGAACTAACTGCAAGACCTGATATTTCTGTAGGTTTCTCCACCAGATAYGAGCTGCAGCATGATCCTGCCCTGAGTTCACTTTTTCTCAGCGCTTCTTAACTCAGATACTCTGGTTTCATTAAAAGATAGTCTGAGCTAATTTGGGAATTAGACTGTTTGTACTAAGTGTGCTCAGAAGGAAGGAAAGGCAAACAAAATCTGCTACACTGGAATGAATCAGCTCGGGGACACGGGTCTCAACTTATCGAAGGCACAGGCACATATGGAACTCAACCCCGGGAAAAAAAAAACAAAAAAACATCTCCAGGATGCCGTCTCAGCCAGCCAAATGAGGAGAGACACGCTGAACAAAGGTCTGAATCTTCCCAACAGTGCAGCCCACAAGCTCACAAATCTCAGGTTTTCTCTGCCTGGTAGCATCCCACCACAGAGCTCCTGCCCCCGTGTTTGTGAGCCTCACAAACACACCGACAGCACCATGCCAACAGCAGACATCTTAAACCCACAGGGGAGGAGGAACCCTCAGATTCCTTGCAGGAACCCCAGCTGGTGATGGAAAGCTAAAGCCAAGGAGCAATCACAAATCTTCTTGCCTGTTTRAAGAGAAATAAGTGTATTTATCACACAGATGATCACCCCATGACCTTGAAGCCTGTGCAGGGTCCACAGTTATCCTCCCAGTCACTCACACATGCCTTTGGTTGGAGAGAGCAAAAAGGCAGAAAGCTTCTGAGATAAATGGCCAGGACAAAGCCAGATCAATCCGAGTGTCCTGAATGACAACGAAGCAGCAGCCCTTGCCCTCAGCACACAGAAACAGGTGGGAATAAAAGTGGASGACCACAACCAAGACACAAACAGACACATCAGCTTTAATCCAAWACCCATCATTGCCCTGATCAGCATTCCTTAATTATTCACCAAATCAGAGCAGCCTTGCTTACCCATCCAACAGGACAACTTCTTCCAAGCCAGCTCCAGGCTGCCTGGCATTAGCCAGAGATGCTTGTATAACACGCTCTTTCTCTGCAGCTACACCAGGAGCACTTTCAGGAGTTTGCCTCCGTGCTATCATTAACCTTCAGTGATCAAACATTCCTCTGGATTAGCCACGGAAGCRTCTGCCTGCTGTCCCTGACTGCATAGGCTGAGCAGAGGAGTGAGGGGGCTGTGTACCCAAACAGCCAAGTGCAAACCCTTTTGCTGTTTTTTTAGATGCCAGCAGATTAAATTAAAAAATCCAACAAGCTGCCTCAGTTACATACTGCTGTAGCAGTCCACCCCTTGCACTGTAATTAACATGCACCAGACGGACGGTAATTTATAATTCCCTGGGCAAGAATCACGTCACTTTTCCATCTTATTCACTTTAGTTAAGATTTTCTTCCTATTACAGCTACCTCCAGTGCTACTCCAACACATCCTTYGAGCTAAAGGCCAGATTCTGTTTACCTGAACATCAGATGCAGAAGAAATCCACTGACTTCCAGGGAGTTCTTCCAGATCTGCCTCTGTGCAAGCGGGATGATGGTGTAGCCATAAACACCGGTGTGTCACTAATTAAACCTCCCTTTTTCCCCGTGCATTTCCCAGTTCTGCACAGCATGCTGCATTTAGTGCATTTCCTTTCTCTCCCTGGCTGCAAAGTCCTCAGATTCCAACACGTACCCGAACRCTTCGCATCCTAAATCCAGAGCGCAGCGGAAAGGAACCTGTCCAGCGTGCCACCCCCCTGCCTGGAGATGTGCTCTGCATGAAGATGGTATTATTAGAACCAGCTGTTCAAACGCTGATAAGGAGCAGTGCTCGGAGGCACGCGAGCAGAGGTCAAAGGCACACTAACTGCAATTTTCCCCTCCTACCCCAYAGCAAAAACAAGGAAGTCCCACTGCACTGCTTGAAGGGTGAATCAGAGTTTCTGCGGCAGGTGAAGATGCAGAACTGCATCGGGAGCCTTGAGCGGGGAAATGCCGACAGCAGCGGCGGGGCTGTTAGCAATCAGGGTTTATTTACCAGCCATATTGTGTTAAAACCAGACGTGATTCCCATACCGAGCGCCTTAACCTGTCACCGCCGGCAAAGGGAGATTGATTTGTTTGCAAAGAACCAAACCTAGCTGGAGGACGCATCCTCCGAGCGTGCCGAAGGAAGGCAGGAAGCCAGCATGCGATGTCCCCCCTAAAGAAGTATTGCCCGGACCTGGGGAGGCTGAGGGACGAGCCGCTAAATCAATGTCACTCGCAGAGCAGCCGGCCGTTCCCTTTCCCCCGCCGGCTGCGGCAGCGCGGCTGTAGCATCCCCGGGCTCGGGGGATGGAGCATTCCCGGGCTCGGGGGATGGAGCATTCCCGGGCTAGGGGGATGGAGCATTCCCGGGCTCAGGGGATGGGGCTGCTCCGCGAGGAGGTGGGGGAGGCCGGGGAAGGACTCACCATTGCAGCAGGGCTCCGTCCCGGCGCTGGAGATGCCGCATCCCCGGGGGTGTGCGCCCGGCGCGGGGGGACAGTGGCCGTGGGGAGCGGCTCCGCTCCGGCCCCGCTGACCGCGCTGGCTCCGAGCGGCCGCGGCCGCGCTCCCCCCGGCCGGAGGAGGGGTCGGTGCCTCCGAAGGGAATCCAAATTCCTCCTCCCTTGCCTGCCGGTCATGTCCAGGCTGCCTTTGCTCAGGGGATGGGCCAGCTCCTGGCCGTGAAGGAATCTGCCATGGCTAAATTAAAAAAAAAAAAAAAAACAAAAACAAAACCAAAACCAAACAACAACAAAAATAAAAACCGAGAAGGGAGGCGGGGTATTTTAAAACTTTTTTTTGCTATATATATTTTGCTTTTCTTTTTCTTTCTTTAGGGGGGCTACTGGTGCTCSGGCGGGGCGGGGGACCAGGGGGTGCTCAGGCTGGCTGAGATGCTGTGCCGGGATGAGATGCTCTGGTGCGCTCGCCCCTGTCCCTGTGCCTGTGTGTGATTCTCATACCCAGACAATGCTCTGCAAAGCGAGCTGGTCCTGCGGAGAAATGCAAACACCTCCTCCCCCGAGTGCCTGAGCAAAGGGAAAGGGATATGGAACCAATAGCTTCTCCTTGGCTGCTCTCATTAATATGGAGGAGAAAAAGAAACCAATGAGGAAAAGTGGGAGGAGGGATTTATTCAAATCAAATTTCTTCCATCGAACACCCTTTCCCCCGTTTTTTCCTTTCTTTCTCCCAYCTCCCTCAAATCTCCCTTCTCCCTATCACCTTAGCCCCCTTTCTGCGGTCCYAGACATTTTTATTTCTTATTTCATTACTGTGGCAGGGTCAGCAGCACACGGCGATGGGAGGGAGGATGGCATCGCTGCCGSGAGGSAGAGGGGGCTGTGCGAGGGAGGATRAAGGGAGCCAATTTCTCCCGGACCTGCAGCGAATTGATTGCAAAGAAGAGCGATAAAGTGGCTGGAGTTGTCAGGGAAGGGAACCCAGGGGGAGCAGAGCAGGGTTTTCAGCTGGAAGCAGCATTTTGCAGATGGTGTTTGCAGATGGGCAGGTGGCCTCTGTCCAGGCTGACCCTCTGAGCTTGGGAACAGGATTTTCTCCTCTCCTACAGCTGAKGTACACCCAGGAAGAGAAGTGACCGCACAGGAACAGCAGCATCTGTGCTGTCCTGCATTGCCCCAGAGCTGCACAGCAGCGGGATCCCTGAAACAGCAGGGCAGGAGTGGCATCTGTTGCTGGAAAAGCGATGGGATGGAGCTGCAGGGAGGGCTGGGATGGCTGGGGAGAAGGGAAGGGCTGTCTGGCTGGTTCTCCTGTCCAGTGCCTGCAGAAGGGCAGGGTGGCACATGTGCTCTGCACAAAAGCATCCAGGCACTGCTCCCTTCTGCACAGCATCAGGGAAGGCCCTCCAGACCTGGAAAATGACCCCTGAGGGGCCTGAGCATGGACAGAATAGACAGGCCCTGGCAGACCTGGAAAAGGACCACAGAAGGAACCTGAGCATGGACAGCAGGCCTGGAGGAACCCTCGGCCAGGACATCCAGTGGAGACACTAGAAAAGAATAGACTAGAATAGAAAAGAATAGAAAAGAATAGAAAAGAATAGAATAGAATAGAGTGGAATATAGAATAGAATAGAATAGAATAGAATAGAATAGAATAGAATAGAATAGAATAGAATAGAATAGAATAGAATAGAATAGAAATCATTAAGCTGATTTTGCTGTTGCCAACCATGGCCCCACAAACCCATGTCAAGACTCTGAGATGTTGAATGCCCACATCCTTATCCAAATTCTGAGAGATGTGCTGGAAGACCAGCTGCCTGCTAACGAGGGCWCTTCTAATTACCCTGAAATTCCAAGACACCTGTAGACCTGTTGGGGAAGCCCTTTCCTCTGCTTATCTCTTCACAGGATCACAGAATCATTAYGGCTGGAAAAGACCTCCAAGGTCATTGATTCCACCCTTTGACCAAACACCCCCTTGCCAACTAAACCAGAGCACTGAGTGCCACACCCGGTCATTCCCTGGACACCTCCAGGGGAGGAGAGTCCCCCACTCCCCTGGGCAGCTCTTGACAGTACTTGACAACCCTTTCCATGATGAAATTCTCCCTGGTGTCTAACCTGAGCCTCCCATGGCACAGCCTGAGGCCATTTCCTCTTGTCTGGGGGTTTGTTGCTGGAGAAGRGACCAACCCCCACCTGGCTACAGCCTCCTGACAGGGAGTTTAGAGGAAAAGGTCTCTCCTCTGCCTCCTTTTCTCTGCACTTTTACCACTTTCCCTTGATTTTCTGCATCTCCCATCTTCAATTTCCCATAGCACATGAATCAGTTTCAGCTTCTCCTTGCCCTCACCCTACTTCCTTTAAAAAAAGGACAAAAAGAGAGGCAATTTTGTCATAAAACCAACTAAATCAATTTCCTGCTCAGTGTGACAAGCCCTGGCCCAGTCACTGTGCTGTTCCTGAGCCCATGTGCAGGATCCTGGGGGGCACAGCCAGCCCTGCTGCTGGTCCCTTGGCACRGTCACAGCCCCACAGCTGCCTCCTCTGGAGAAAACCTTGTGCAGACACGTTGTGAATTCACCCAGCTCTGGTTTTGTTCCAGTTCCATGAAGCAGATTAAAAAATCCACTAGGATTTCCAAAACTCTCCTCTGGATGCTTTCCTCCARGTCTGCCATCTCCTGTAGTCACACCTCACAGGTTTTGGTAACTTTAACAGATCAGAGAAGAAAGAAAACAAATTAAAGATCATAGAAGCACAGAATGATTTGTGTTGGAAGGGACCTTAGAGAYCACCTCATTCCACCTTCTGCCATGGGCAGGGACACCTTCCACTGTCTCAGGGTGCTCCAAGCCCTGTCCAACCTGGCCTGAGACACTTCCAGGGATCCAGAGGCAGCCACAGCTTCTCTGGGCACCCTGTGCCAGGGTCTCACCACCCTCACATAGAAGAATTTCTTCCTAATACCTAATCTATCTGCCCTCTCTCAGTTTAAAGTCATTCCCCYATGTCCTACAATCCATGTTGTTTTCCAAWGTCCCTCTCCAGCTCTCCTGGAGCCCCTTTAGGCCCTGCAAGGGGCTCTGAGCTCTCCCTGGATCCTCCCCTTCTGCAGGGGAGCACCCCCAGCTTTCCCAGCCTGGCTCCAGAGCAGAGGAGCTCCAGCCCCTTGAKCAAATTTGTGGCCTTCCCTGGACTCTCTCCAACAGGTCCATGTCCTCCTTATGTTGGAGATCCCAGAGCTGGGCCCAGCACTCCAGGTAGGGATTCACCAAAGCAGAATCAGCTCCCACCCCTTTCTGCCCACACTTCTTTTTGTGCAGCCAGGGCACGATGGACTTTCTGTCAATTGGRGTGTGCTCAGTGCYGGGTCGTGTCCAGCCTCTCATCGACCAACACCCCCAAATCTTCTCAGGACTGCTTTCAATCCATCCCCTGTCCAACCTATTTTTATGCTTGGGATTGCCCCAACCGAGGTGCAGCACCTTGTCCTGGGCCTTGTTGCACCCCATGAGCTTTGCACAGACCCTCCTCTCCAACCTGTTCAGGCCCCTTTGGATCCCTCCCTCCCCTCCATCAGGTCCACCAGACCACCAGCTCGGTGTCATTGGCAAAATTCYTGAGGATACACTTGATAATGAAGGACATTAGATGATATAGGACAAAAAAATCCTCCACAGCAAAATGTTTGTTCTTCCCACAACAAAGCATCTGTGTTCACTCTGCAGATTTAAAGAATCTCTTCCCCCTCAAAAAAAAAAAAAGCCCCCAAACCCACAGGAAAACAAAAACAAAAACCGATCTGTATTCCCTCAAAACTTCCAGAATTTATGGCTGTCTCACCTCAAAAGCCCCGCAGTGAAATGATGCCTTAGCTTGCTAAGCATGGAAGAAGACTCCCAGGTGCTCAATTATTATGTGCTGATCCAACATCTGCTCCCTATCTTTCCCAGGAGAAGGGCAGTAGGCCAAGAGAATCATCTAGTGGCCCATATCCAGCAGCAGTTGGGCTGCCTCAGATGATCTCAGCTGATGTTCGTATCAGGTTTCCTTCTGAAGTAGTGAGGAGAGGCTGTCCAAGAACCTTGTTCCCCAAAGAAGTCCATTTTTTATGAGCAGAAAAACAATGAATCCTCTTTCAGACAAATGGTGTTTTATTGTTACCCTCCTGAGCAGTCTATTAAACTGGTCTGCATTATTTAATCATGTGTAAAGCACAGTAACCCTTCTCTTGGCTGGCATGAGGCACTGAGGGAGCAGCAGGAGGGCAAGGGGTGCATTCCTACCAATGACCTTGGCATCCATCCATCCATCCATCCATCCATCCATCCATCCATCCATCCATCCATCCATCCATCCATCCATCCATCCATCCATCCTCCTGCACAGCTGAGCTGGTTACAGGAATGCGTGCTGAGACTGGGTTAAAGGTATTTTATTAGAATATCCTTGATCTTTTATTTGGACGCCTGAGGTGTAATTTAATTCACTGGACAGCCGGGTCCGAACTGGCCAACCACCTCTGCCTTCGTATTAAGGTCAGCTGCTTTCCCTGCAGCCACTGAAATAAAAGGCATAATCAGTTCCAGCCCAAAGAGATGYTGGAAGCATCCAAGGATCTGTGTCCTGAATGTGCCTGATTCTCTCCACTGCAGATCTCCAAGGGTTAATGAGATGAATCAATCCCCCTCTCACTATTTGGTTTGAAAAGCCTGGAATATCGAGACTCGCCCACGTGGCTTGTTCTGCTCTGCTGGACAAGAACCKCCCCTGGACAGTGCCACAGACTCTCACCCACACTGAGATCCCTCCTACCAGGCCTGACTGGCCTGCAGATCCTCTGATGAGATGGTCAAGCTGTGCTGGGCATGCAAAGCAGACTCAGAGGAAAGTAAATTTCTCTTGTGCAATGTGAGGTTGATAAATACCTCGTGGTTGGTGGGASCCTCTGGTCTCCACATTCCTCAGTGACTTCCCACCAGCCAGAAGATTCCTAACAGTCAGAAAGGGACTATTTACCTTCCTGTCAGAAAGGAACAATTTCTGATTCCTGAGGGCAAGAACTGGTGGGGGTAGAGTGGGAGAAAGCAGCTGTTTATGCAGACAGTGCAGTCATTTGTTCCCTTTTTAGCCATGTAAATGAGCTGTAGTGTTTGAAGACATTTCTGCTCGTGGAACTGCATCCACAGCCAAGGAGATGCAGTGTCCCAAATCCCCCACCTGCTGTGGTCCACTGGGACATTCCTGGTGTGTTGATAAAGCTCTGCATTGCTGTGTTTAACTCAAACCATGAACCTGAGGAGCAGCAGGTATCTGTTGTGAGATCACTCTTCATTTTAGTGARTACRGAGTAGGTTATCTCACAGAGCTGGRCACCCCAGGGTGCTCAAAGGTGTCWCAGCAGCCACCAGTGAGAGCTGAGGTGATGGAAATTCCATCCCAGCTCACTGGTTTGAACTCGATATCCTCAAAGGTAATTGATTTGAAACAAACCCCTCAATTCCTGTCCCAAATCAAATCACATGTTTCCTGTGGCTCCTCTAGGAATGTTTTGGCTACACAAAATCTACT